TTCGACCCCCGCCTCCGTCGCGTCGCCCACCTTGGTGAGCCGCCACCCGGATGGCTGGGCCCCTGGGGGCAGCGGGGAGGGTGGGTCACCCGAGCGAGGGCACCCGGACACTTGGGTCTCCTCAAGGGGCACCTAGACCCCTGAGTAGGTGACCACGGGTTGAAGGTGGGAGGCAGCTATGGGTGATGGAGGATGGGGAGCCCGGATGGCTGGGCCCCTGGGGGCAGCGGGGAGGGCGGGTCACCTGAGCGAGGGCACCCGGACACTTGGGTCTCCTCAAGGGGCACCTAGACCCCTGAGTAGGTGACCACGGGTTGAAGGTGGGAGGCAGCTATGGGTGATGGAGGATGGGGAGCCCGGATGGCTGGGCCCCTGGGGGCAGCGGGGAGGGCGGGTCACCCGAGCGAGGGCACCCGGACACTTGGGTCTCCTCAAGGGGCACCTAGACCCCTGAGTAGGTGACCACGGGTTGAAGGTGGGAGGCAGCTATGGGTGATGGAGGATGGGGAGCCCGGATGGCTGGGCCCCTGGGGGCAGCGGGGAGGGCGGGTCACCCGAGCGAGGGCACCCGGACACTTGGGTCTCCTCAAGGGGCACCTAGACCCCTGAGTAGGTGACCACGGGTTGAAGGTGGGAGGCAGCTATGGGTGATGGAGGATGGGGAGCCCGGATGGCTGGGCCCCTGGGGGCAGCGGGGAGGGCGGGTCACCCGAGCGAGGGCACCCGGACACTTGGGTCTCCTCAAGGGGCACCTAGACCCCTGAGTAGGTGACCACGGGTTGAAGGTGGGAGGCAGCTATGGGTGATGGAGGATGGGGAGCCCGGATGGCTGGGCCCCTGGGGGCAGCGGGGAGGGCGGGTCACCCGAGCGAGGGCACCCGGACACTTGGGTCTCCTCAAGGGGCACCTAGACCCCTGAGTAGGTGACCACGGGTTGAAGGTGGGAGGCAGCTATGGGTGATGGAGGATGGGGAGCCCGGATGGCTGGGCCCCTGGGGGCAGCGGGGAGGGCGGGTCACCCGAGCGAGGGCACCCGGACACTTGGGTCTCCTCAAGGGGCACCTAGACCCCTGAGTAGGTGACCACGGGTTGAAGGTGGGAGGCAGCTATGGGTGATGGAGGATGGGGAGCCCGGATGGCTGGGCCCCTGGGGGCAGCGGGGAGGGCGGGTCACCCGAGCGAGGGCACCCGGACACTTGGGTCTCCTCAAGGGGCACCTAGACCCCTGAGTAGGTGACCACGGGTTGAAGGTGGGAGGCAGCTATGGGTGATGGAGGATGGGGAGCCCGGATGGCTGGGCCCCTGGGGGCAGCGGGGAGGGCGGGTCACCCGAGCGAGGGCACCCGGACACTTGGGTCTCCTCAAGGGGCACCTAGACCCCTGAGTAGGTGACCACGGGTTGAAGGTGGGAGGCAGCTATGGGTGATGGAGGATGGGGAGCCCGGATGGCTGGGCCCCTGGGGGCAGCGGGGAGGGCGGGTCACCCGAGCGAGGGCACCCGGACACTTGGGTCTCCTCAAGGGGCACCTAGACCCCTGAGTAGGTGACCACGGGTTGAAGGTGGGAGGCAGCTATGGGTGATGGAGGATGGGGAGCCCGGATGGCTGGGCCCCTGGGGGCAGCGGGGAGGGCGGGTCACCCGAGCGAGGGCACCCGGACACTTGGGTCTCCTCAAGGGGCACCTAGACCCCTGAGTAGGTGACCACGGGTTGAAGGTGGGAGGCAGCTATGGGTGATGGAGGATGGGGAGCCCGGATGGCTGGGCCCCTGGGGGCAGCGGGGAGGGCGGGTCACCCGAGCGAGGGCACCCGGACACTTGGGTCTCCTCAAGGGGCACCTAGACCCCTGAGTAGGTGACCACGGGTTGAAGGTGGGAGGCAGCTATGGGTGATGGAGGATGGGGAGCCCGGATGGCTGGGCCCCTGGGGGCAGCGGGGAGGGCGGGTCACCCGAGCGAGGGCACCCGGACACTTGGGTCTCCTCAAGGGGCACCTAGACCCCTGAGTAGGTGACCACGGGTTGAAGGTGGGAGGCAGCTATGGGTGATGGAGGATGGGGAGCCCGGATGGCTGGGCCCCTGGGGGCAGCGGGGAGGGCGGGTCACCCGAGCGAGGGCACCCGGACACTTGGGTCTCCTCAAGGGGCACCTAGACCCCTGAGTAGGTGACCACGGGTTGAAGGTGGGAGGCAGCTATGGGTGATGGAGGATGGGGAGCCCGGATGGCTGGGCCCCTGGGGGCAGCGGGGAGGGCGGGTCACCCGAGCGAGGGCACCCGGACACTTGGGTCTCCTCAAGGGGCACCTAGACCCCTGAGTAGGTGACCACGGGTTGAAGGTGGGAGGCAGCTATGGGTGATGGAGGATGGGGAGCCCGGATGGCTGGGCCCCTGGGGGCAGCGGGGAGGGCGGGTCACCCGAGCGAGGGCACCCGGACACTTGGGTCTCCTCAAGGGGCACCTAGACCCCTGAGTAGGTGACCACGGGTTGAAGGTGGGAGGCAGCTATGGGTGATGGAGGATGGGGAGCCCGGATGGCTGGGCCCCTGGGGGCAGCGGGGAGGGCGGGTCACCCGAGCGAGGGCACCCGGACACTTGGGTCTCCTCAAGGGGCACCTAGACCCCTGAGTAGGTGACCACGGGTTGAAGGTGGGAGGCAGCTATGGGTGATGGAGGATGGGGAGCCCGGATGGCTGGGCCCCTGGGGGCAGCGGGGAGGGCGGGTCACCCGAGCGAGGGCACCCGGACACTTGGGTCTCCTCAAGGGGCTGGTCATGGAGGTGCCCACGGTGAAGGTGAGGCGCTGGTCGAAGTCTTTGCGGAACAGCCCCGGCACCTTGTTGCCCTCGGGGCAGTCGGGCAGGTAGGCCACTCGCGTGGTGCCCGGGTACCGCACGCCCGGGTTGGGGTGCTCCACCTGCGAGCCGTCGGGCCGACACGGGGCGTCAGGCGCGGGGGTGCCCCCAGGGGGGCACCCAGAGGGATTGGGGTTACACCCAAGGGTGCTTGGCCAGGCTGGGCTTAGCTCCGTGGCACCAGAGCAGGGTCGGGGACACCCCCCAAAGTCGCAGCGTGACCAAAGGTGAACATCTGGCGTCAGGGGCACCCAGATGGGTTGGCGTAGCTGGGTGCCAGGGCACGCAGCCGCTTTTGGGGACGCACAACCAGACTAGGGTGCCCAAGCGGCAGCGGTGCAGAACCAGGTGGAGGTGCCCAGCAAGCTTTGGGGATGCCCAGTAGCACCACCACAGAACAGGACAGGTGACACCCTACCAACTTGGGATGCCCCCATTGCTGGGGGCACAGGGGACACCTCGCCAGCCCGGGGTGCCCGGTGCCCAGCCGACGCGGGGTGAGGGGGCACGCGCTGTCTTACCCCTTGGACGCCGGGTGGGAAGACGTACTGGATGATGATGGTGCCGAACTTCTCGTAGCCGGGGAGCAGGAGGCTGGAGTCCTTGGTGACCAGCATGCGCCCGTTCTGGGGCTGGTTGCCCACCAGCTGCCCGTAGAAGCGCCCGCACATGGGGCAAGCGGTCTTCACCTGGAGCGCCCGCGTGATGCAATCCTCGCAGAACGAGTGTCGGCACTTCTCCAGCGTCTTCATGTTCTGGATCTCGCCCAGGCAGATGGGACACTGCCGGTCGGGTTCCTCGTCCCGCGAGCAC